AGTAACAAAACATCTTTGACCCTCTCTCTGTCTCAGGTTTCCTTTTCAAAGACCTGCCTTTCTTCCCGTCCATTAGAGATTTCTCTTCTTTTATTCTATTAAAGAAAGATCATGGCTGTATTCAAGGGAACCTCAGCACGGACAGCTCCTCTGAGACAACCGTCGTACTTGTAATAGGATAAAAAAAAATCTTGCTCACCTCAGTGGGTTTTTGAATGTTAAAACTAACCCTGTTTCAGCAAAATCAAAAAATTGTCCTCCTTGAAGATACTCTGCGATCACATGTATAAAAAAATTTAATTTCCCTGTGTCAGACAGACGTGCACACATAAACACTACAAACTGTAAACAAACCAGAAGCCACACATTCAGGTGTATTAAAAATTTGGTGCAGAAACAAATCAAACTTTGATGCTGACAGCTGCAGCTTTGCTTTTTGTCTCTCCCTGTATTCACAGAGAGAGGGAAGCATGGTTGTGCGTTCAGTAAGTAAAGTAGTTATTGTGCAACACAAAATCACCGCCTTTGATGTCGACAAAACAACGCTGCCTCACATGAACACATTCAGGACCATCTGCACTAATGGTTTGTAATGGATGGCAGGCAGGCAGCACCTCTGCAGACAAACAGTGCAGATACATTCCTCAGTCGTCAGCTCCGCTCTGTCGATATCCAGCCTTTCACTGAGCACAGAGTGATGGAGCAGAGGCTGCGTTTTATGTTTGTGTGTGTGTGTGTGTGTGTGTGTGTGTGTGTGTGTGTGTGTGTGTGTGGTGTGTGGTGTGTGTGTGTGTGTGTGTGTGTGTGTGTGTGTGTTGGGTACTTGTTTTCGTTTCCAGCATAAACACTGACCTTCTCAGGACCAGACCTCATGGGACCAGAGCTTGGTCTTAATGAGGCAAAACTTAATGTCTGAGGTCCTGGTCTAGTTTAGCGGTAGATGTGAATTGTGGTTAAGTTAAGACATGAGTTGGTCATGGTTGAGTTTAGGGAGAAGGTTTTGGTTAGGCTCTCCACAATGATAGAAGTTCTAATGAGGATAGCTTCGCAAACCTGCACGTGTCACAATACGTATTGTGTAGTTTTATACATATACACCTGATTTTATTTACTTGATTTGAATATCCGACATTAGCATAAAACCTATCAAAGTAAAAAGACAAATGTTAGAATCTGAATTGATAAAATAAACAAAACAATCTTTATTTGTGTGTGTGGTCTTGTCGTTGATGAATAACTTTTTGTTTAAATATATATTTGATCACATATAAGTCATATTTTTTCCCATATTATTGACTGTATGGTTATGATTTCATGGTTTTATATATAACACCTTTCATGTTTCTAAATCCAGTCTGAATCCGCCCTTCCAGGGGGATCAGGATAATCCTACTTTTTGGCATCTAACTGTTGTGATATCTGCCTGTAAGCACTGAGAGATGCATAAACTACACTTTAAGTATAACTGTATATAAATCTAGATTTAAATCTGAATGATCACATTCTTCGGATTCCATAAAACTATTTTAGACCATTTGAAGTGTGAATCATAGTCATTGAGTTCATTAAACTTGCTGAGGTCCAAGTCAGAATATTATATATATATATTGTTGTATTATTATCAACTTTTTAAAGAACTATAAATGTATCCATGTCTTTGAATGTCACGTAAACAACCTCCCACAGAGGGCTGTTGCGAAGAGTGGAG